ATAACTTTAAAACATTTTATATCTTAATTTATATATTATTATTCTTTCTATCGTTATTATTGAAATAAAACAATTACCGAACACGACCTCAAATGATAACAAAAGACGTTAGTTTCTGACAAGAAAGTGAAAATATTGATGAGGTGATCAAAAAATTGACGTTAGAATTGGATAATTTAATTGAGCTATATAATTTATCGATGAGCAAAGTGATTGTGAACTAAGAAGAAACAATATATTAATACACTGTTAAACATTGTACAGCATATGTGTGGAATTCAACATGGCAAACTATTCTAAATCCTACAAAAATTGTGAAAAAATAAAAATTCAATACAAACAGTAGTACACACAAGGAATTTCTAAAAACTTACTTCAGTTGAAACAATCAAGTCCTAGCCACATTACTGAAAGTTCATGATCATTCTGTCTGATCATGACAAAATTCAACTCCTAAATTAATAAAAGGGGAATGCTGAAATACTCATTACACACACTTAGTGCAAAATTTAGAGTAATGAGTGAATAGAATGAGTTAAGCGTACTCAAAGAGAACGTTAGTCCACATTCAAGTTTCTAACAAGACCAGATGGGGAATTACAAATAAGGTTTTTCTTTTCAGTCTACACTTGGTTGAACTGGCTTCTAAAATGAAGTTGGTTGGTTGTTTGGTGCTTTATGGAGCAAAGCAACGAGGCTATATATAATTAAAAAGACCTATAGTGTGTAAAAAATTAAAAATACAATCTAATCGGACAGTGTCACCATTACCAATGACACTGTCCAACGTCAGGGGTAAACTCTTAGAAAACATGCGTCTAAAATGGTGCCGCCGCTCACGGTCGTAACGACGGCACGACAGTAAAATGTGGGCTATTGTGACTTGAGTGTCACAATGGCTACACATCGGTGGGTCAATACCTGATAAAAGAAAACGATGGGTTATAAAACTATGACCAATGCGTAGCCTTGCCAGGACTACTTCCGATCCTTACGGAAGCAAGACAGCCAAAGACCAACAGAAGGTTTGATCTGGAAAAACTTGTTTTGGCGTTGCTCACTCCAAGTCTACTGCCAACTGGCACGAAGACGAGCCTTGAAGACAGGTCCGTAGTCCATGTATGGGACAGGCATAGCCTTGATGGCACCAGAGCAGACGGACTTAGCTGCAGTGTCAGCGAGCTCGTTCCCGTGAATACCGACGTGGGCAGGGATCCAGAAAAACTGGATGGAAACAGAAGATAGAGAAAAGTGGGCCAATCGGTGTTGAATATCGACGAGAACAGGGTGAGAATTAACGTTAAGCGATTCCAGGGTCAGTAGAGAGCTAACAGAATCAGTGTAAATAGTACAATTACTGTACTGCATAGCTTCTACATGATCCAGGGCAAGAGAAATAGCATACAATTCGGCAGTGAACACAGAAACTATAGAAGGGATCCTGCGAGCAACTACCGAGCCACAGCACACCATGGCAGAACCTACAGAGTCACCCGATTTCGAACCATCCGTGTAAATAGGAAGAGAAGAATGGCTCGAAAGATGTCCAGCAAAAAGATGGTACTTCCAATCGGGAGTATCCACCTTTCTTAGATGACTCAGAGAAAGGTCACAGGAAGGGATAGTAATAAGCCGTGGTGGAATGGGCTGATCATTGGGGACAGCAATGTCATCCAATGCCAGACTCAATTCAGCCAGTTGTGCCTGGATACGAAGGCCAAAGGAAGGAATAGCAGACCTTCTGTTCTGAAAGAGCATTGCCCACCGAGGAAGAAAGACACAATCCCAGGCAGGATGCTGTGGTAAGGATCGAAGCTTGGTAGCATATTGTAAAGAAAGTTGCAAACGATGGAGGTGAAGAGGAGGTTCGTGGGACTCAGTGTACAAACTCTGGACTGGAGAAGTGCAAAAAGCCCTGGTGCAGAGCTGAAGCCCCAGATGGTGAATGGGGTCCAGCATCTTCAAAGACGAGGTCCTGGCAGAACCATAGACCAAAGACCCATAGTCCATTTTGGATCGAATCAGGGCACGATAGATCCTGAGCATAGAACATCGATCCACTCCCCAAGAGCTGGAAGAGAGGACATGGAGGATGTTCAGAGCCCTTGCACACTTGACATGTAGCTGCTTGATGTGTGGAATGAAGCTAAGCTTACGGTCAAAAATAAGCCTCAGGAACTTTACCTCAGGGACCACACGAATAATTACATCGCCAAGACGGAGATCAGGGTGGAGACCCAGTTAGTGGCAAATATACATGCAAACGGTTTTGGAAAAAGAAAATTTAAAACCATTTGCAGTGGTCCATGTCAACAATCGATTGAGGGCAGTATGAAGCTGCTGCTCAATAAACCTCATGTTCGATGACTGACACGAGATGTAGAAGTCATCAACATAGAGCCCATTAGCAACAGTCAGAGGAAGATCAGTAGTAATGGCATTAATTTTAATAATAAAAAGTGTGACACTGAAAACATGGCCCTGAGGGACTCCAAGTTCCTGTGGAAAGGAGCGGGAAAGAGTTGAACCCACATGGACTTGGATTAGCCTGTTCAGTAAAAAGTTTTGAATAAAAATGGGTAAATGGCCATGCAACCCATAGGAGTGGAGGACCTGCAAAATTCAATACTTCCACGTAGTGTCTTAAGCCTTCTCCAGATCGAAAAACACAGAAACAAGGTGTTCTCTCTTGAGAATCAGATGGTCCATGGTGGAGTGCTGTCGACGAAACCTACACTGGGTAGGCAAGAAGCACGTGTTTGATTTGAGGAACCAAACAAGTTGTGCATTAACCATCCTCTCTAAAACCTTACAAAGACAACTGGTCAAAGCGATGGGATGATAATTAGAAGGAATCTTGGGATCTTTCCCAGGTTTAGAGAAAGGGAGGTCAATAGCAACTTCCTGGTCATTGGAGAGCAAGATGGAAAGGGGATGGGAAGCATACCTCCCAGTGACTTTCCGAATCTGGTCCCACACAGTTTTGGAACTGGTGGTAGAAGAGATGCTAGTAGTGAACTTAACCCAAGACTCCTTTTGGCTTTGATGTCAACCCTGCCGAGCATGGGCATGGGCCCGCTGATAAACAATGTGGTTAGAAAGAGAGGGATATCATCAGAAGGTATCCCAAGCCCATTTTTAAGCCTTCTATGCCTCCTGGCAGGCAGGACTCCACCATGGACGAGGATACCGTGGAAAACGTGTCGAGGACTTAGGAATAAAATGAGCAGCTGCCTGGACGATACAGTCAGTCACTGCAACCACACAATCGTCTAGTGATGGCAGACAGACGGCCAGTCAGCCTGGTCCAACTTCCACCGTGGCACTCAGGTTGGGTGGCATCGACTATGGCCAACCTCCCTCATAATGATAGGAAAATGATCACTGCCCCGTGGGTCACTGTCGACCATCCAATAAAAGCGAGT